TCAGCATGTAGGGTCTGACTGTGAGTCAGCATGTAGGGTCTGACAGTGAGTCAGCATGTAGGGTCTGACTGCTGAGTCAGCATGTAGGGTCTGACTGTGAGTCAGCATGTAGGGTCTGACTGTGAGTCAGCATGTAGGGTCTAACAGTGAGTCAGCATGTAGGGTCTGACAGTGAGTCAGCATGTAGGGTCTGACTGTGAGTCAGCATGTAGGGTCTGACTGTGAGTCAGCATGTAGGGTCTGACTGTGACTCAGCATGTAGGGTCTGACTGTGACTCAGCATGTAGGGTCTGACTGTGACTCAGCATGTAGGGTCTGACTGTGACTCAGCATGTAGGGTCTGACTGCCTTGGTTAAAATCCGACTTCCTGTTGATCAACAGATCTTTCAGATACTAAAGTCAACATGAACCGATGGCACCACAGAGGATCTGGGGTGTGCACCACTGGAAGTTCTTTACTGAAGGTTCTTGTCTGTTCTGAAGGTTCTGGATGCCGTCAGTCTGGAGGAGCGGTTCCGGAAGGCCCTGCCCATGCTGACCCGTCAGATCGAAGGACTCAAGCTGCTGCAGAGGAGCAGGAAGCTGAGTCCAGATCACCAGAAGAGGGTACCCAGCACTACAGGTTTTACCAGAACCAGACCCTGTGGACCTGTGTTCACAGCATCACTAAGATCCATCTGTGGACCTTCAGGTTCTGTCGGTCCGTAAAGGTGGTGTGTTCCCCGGACGACAGTTTAACCTGGAGGAGGAAGAGGAGGAGGAGGATGGAGACGACACGGCAGCTTTGGAGAGGAAGATCCACAGAGCCGACATGCCTGAAGGTGCCCTCCGAGTCTGTCTGAAGGAACTCAAGAGGTAAAGTTCTCCAGAACCATCCAGACCCTCTGAAGGGTCCTACAGTCCACAAGTCCTTTTTACTATTTTACAGGTGGTCAGGTGAGTGTTTCATCTGAACTCGTTAAGGTGTTTCAGGTCAGGTGATCTGAACTCGTTAAGGTGTTTCAGGTCAGTTGATCTGAACTTGTTGAGGTGTTTCAGGTCAGGTGACCTGAACTCGTTAAGGTCTTTCAGGTCAGGTGATCTGAACTCGTTAAGGTCTTTCAGGTCAGGTGATCTGAACTCGTTAAGGTGTTTCAGGTCAGGTGATCTGAACTCGTTAAGGTGTTTCAGGTCAGGTGACCTGAACTCGTTAAGGTGTTTCAGGTCATGTGACCTGAACTCGTTAAGGTGTTTCAGGTCAGGTGACCTGAACTCGTTAAGGTGTTTCAGGTCTAACTCTGACTTGGGTCCAGGTTGAAGAAGATGCCTCAGTCGATGCCTGAATTCGCTCTGACCAGGAACTATTTGGACCTGATGGTGGAGCTGCCGTGGAACAGAAGCACTAAAGGTAAAGTTCTGCTTTCATTTTTCTCTGAATAAATACTTAGAAACAATAATTGTAAAATGAGTTTATTATGACTTTTGATATTTCAGCAAGTTATACTTTATGAGACATGTTTTTATTCTAATTGAAGATAAAATGAAACTGTTTTTAACATTTTAAACTTCTCTTCCACTTCACTGCTGCTTTTTAACTTCTTTATTTTAGCTTACTTCAGCTTCTTTTTAGCTATTTTTAGCTTTTTCAGCTAATTCATGCTTTTTCTTGTTGTGGTCATTTCAGCTACTTGCTGCTGAATTCAGCAAACACTCTTTCTGCTTCTTTGTGCTGGATTCCAGATTTCAGCTACTTTTCTTGCGGTCTAGCAGCTGAAAGCATCAAAGCTTTAGCTTCAGGATGTTTTCTGATTGGTCGAACGTCTGTCCCTCAGACTGCCTGGACATCCGAGCAGCGAGGACACAGTTGGACAACGATCACTACGCCATGGACAAGCTGAAGAGACGTGTGCTGGAGTACCTGGCTGTGAGACAGCTGAAGACCTCACTGAAGGTGATTTCTGCAGGACCACCCTGGAGCATGGAGACGGTTAGGGTCCTGGATTTGTCCCCAGCAGAGTGTAGAGGGGACAGAGAAAACCTGTTTTTAGTTTTTATGTATTTATTTTGATGGACTGAAGGTGGGGTAGGGTCTGATGTCCTCACAGATTCGGACGTTTCCACAAAGACTAAAGTTCTGCTGCTGTGGTCTTGCAGGGTCCCATCCTGTGCTTCGTCGGACCACCAGGAGTCGGGAAGACGAGCGTGGGCCGCTCCATCGCCCGGACTCTGGGCAGAGAGTTTCACCGGATCGCCCTGGGGGGCGTCTGTGACCAGTCTGACATCAGGGGCCACAGGTACTGCTGGTCCAGGATGGTTTAGATCCTGGTCCTTCACACACGCAGACAGAAACCAGGTCCATCTGCAGCTGGTCTGAAACCAAACTGATGGACTTTGAGTCGTTTAAAGACAGACTTCCTGTCTCAGCAGGGACAAGTGAAAAACATCTGCCTGATGCCAGCAGCTGACATGAAGGCCCTTTAATAATCCAGACCTGTTCTGGTTCTAGACAAGTCCTGCAGAACCAGAACCAGAACAGGAGCAGGACGACCCCTGCTGGACGGACAGAGGACAGGATGAAGACATTTATCAAAGCTTTTCTCTTCTGGTCAAAGTAACTGACTTTAATTAAAACACATCAACAAGGTCAAACTAAGGTCATCAAGAGTCCCTCATCCTAGAGACCTAGACTTCACCCTGAAGGTCAGACTGTGCAGTGATCCACAGGCCACGAACCAAAGACCTGGACTCTGGTCCTTCTGGACAGGAACCAAAGACCTGGACTCTGGTCCTTCTGGACAGGAACCAAAGACCTGGACT